CACGACCTGGCCCCGGCGGCCCGCCCCTTCCGGGCAACATCACCGCCCCGCCCAGCAATGGCACCGCCCGGCGGAAGTGTGCGCCGCGACTTCCGCCCAGCGAGGCGCGGGCTAGAGCGGCGCTTCTCACCACTCTCCCATCCCCGAGCGCTCTAACCCGAAGCTGCCTCTCGGAGGCCCGGCGCCGCCGCTGCACTTGCTCCGTGTAGGCCTCCACCCCCCGGGTGGGCGTGGACTAGGGTCGCGAACGAAACCCGGGAGGCCCAGTGTGAGTTTCAGGTGAACAACGAATAACGCCTTAGTGTAAGTGTAGCCCAAATATTGATGGGCTGTACTTATACCAAAATGTGTTCCATTGTTTATCTGAAATTCAAATTTAACTGGACGTCCTGTATCTTTATTTGCTAAATATAGCGCCCTTGTTAGGGACCCAACATCTCTCTCCAGCCCAGACCTCTTTCTTGTATTTGGAAATACGCAAGCCTGGTCACCAGGCAGCATGCCCCCCTCCCCCCCCCCCCCGCCCCGCCATCCCTAACGCCCTGTGCAAAATCCCTGCAGGAGAGACAGCACATGGTGACATCGATCTCAGAGCAGGGCCCATCTCGCCCAGTCCCGCTGGAGAACAGGCCTCTAAAAGGTAGGCAGGGAACATGTCTGGCTAGTGCGCGGCCTGGCACACGTACGTTTGAATGGATGGTGGTGAGACCTGGGAGTCAGATCTGGTTCCCGTTGGGGGGACTATTCCCTACCCTTGGGGGCCAGGCACACTTAGCACCTTCCTTCTGCCATCAAGAGTCCAGATCTGAACCCTTCCAGAAGAGAGGCAAAATATCGTGAGGGAATAAGAATGGACTTTAGAATCATAGAAATGGGTTTTAAACCCCACTTCTGCCACTGATTTGCTGGTGACCTTGGTTGGCTCACTGAAGCCTTTAACTTCCTCACTTACAAACCAGGGATCACCATACCAATTAACTGGGTGGACTGGCCCCATGCAAATGTCGTCTCACTCTCACAAAACCCCACTAAAAGGACAGTAAAGGAATAAAAAAGCTATTAATCCATTAACACAAAGAGAGCAGGAGGCGGGGAAGCAGCTAGTGAAAGATAGAAACAAATTTTGGAATGATAGAAAGATGAAGGAAGCATCCTAAAGGCCTCTGGGGGGACCCTGATGAGAAATTTCACTCACAGAACCACTGAGGGTGGGCTGAGGCAGGAGACTGAGAACAGGGGTGAGTGGAAGTTCATGTATTAAAAACTGGGGGACCCACAGGGCTGGCCAGTTAGCTCAGCTGGTTAGAGCATGATGTTACAATATCACGGTCAAGTATTCGGATCTCCATACAGGACAGCTGCAAAACAACAACATAAACAAAAACAAAAACCTGGGACTTAGGGCTAGCCAGTTAGCTTACTTGGGAGAGCACAGTGCTGATAACACCAAGGTCATAGTGGCCAGCTGCCAAAACCAAACAAAACAAAAAACCTGGGGGACCTGGGACCTCCACCTCTGCTTGGTCTCTATATCCATCCCACCCTCCACCTACCCTCAACAGGATACTGGAAGATTTTCTGCTGGAGAAACTGACCAACTTCAGAGAAAAGACCTTTCCACCCCATTAAGCAATGAAAAGCTGGCCTGCTGCCCATCCACCGTACAGCAAAGCCCACCATTCAGCAAACTCTACCCCCACAAAAAAAATTTCCAGTCAGTGTTGTAGGGTCTCATTCTTAAATGTAGATAGGCAGCCAAGGCTTTCCAGACTCAGAGAGAAGCCTGCAAAATGAAAGACAAGAGACTAAAACAAACAGACCTAGAGAGCAGAAGGAAATCTTAGAAAGAACTATATTTGATATTCGCAGAAAAGATGTTGGTTCCATGAAATGAGAATAGGATGCCTTGGACAACAGCAACAACCAGAAAGCCAACAGAACAAGAAAAAGTTCTTAGAAGTTAAAAATATAATAGCATAAGTAAAAATTCACTAGCAAAGTGCGAAAATAAAATAGAGGAAATCTCCCAGCAAGCAGAGCAAAAGAGAAAATAGAGTAAATTAGAAGGCTGAATCCAGAAGGTGCAGTATCTAATAGGAATTTCAGAAAGAACTGAGAAAATAGAGAGGAGCAAATTATCAAAGAGCTAATAGGACAATATATGCCAGAACTAAAGGATTTAATTTTTCATATTGAAAGGGCCCAAGGATTGGCCAGTTAGCTCAGTTGGTTAGAATGTGGTGTTATAACACCAGAGTCAAGAAGAGTTTGGATCCCCATAAGTGCCAGCTGCCAAAAAAATAAACCAAAGAGCCAATCAAGGTAAAAAGACCCTCACTGGGAGACATGATGTAATACCACAGCACTGGAGATAAAGCAAAAATCCTGAAAGCTTCAGAGAGGAAGGAGTATGGAGAGAGAAGGACATGTAAGAAAGATCAAGAATCAGAATGGCAGTGGACTTATAACCCTGGAAATCCTCTCAAATTTCTGAAGGAATGTGATTTTCATTCATGAAATCTATCCCTAGGCACACTTTCTATCAGCATAAAGACATCAACAGAGAAGACAAATTATTTAGCTCTCATGCCCCACCTCAAATGAAGTTACCAGAGGGTTTGCTTCTCCAAAATATTAGGGAGCACAAGTTAGAAGAAGACCTGGCATTCAGGAAGCAGAAGCTCCAACCCAAACGGAAGCCATGGGGAAGTGTGGGATGACTGTGCAGAGACTGAGAGAGTGGACATTCAGATTGGAGCAGGAAGCCACCGCTCCCAGGTAGAGATCCCCAGAATATACATGGAATTGGTGTGCGTTACCTCAAATGCTTGAAAACTGGGAAAGGTAATTGCAAGGAGTGTGGTATCTTTTGCAGCATTTAGAGAAAATACCAAAATTTGTATATAGGAAAACAAAGAGAAATAATGATAGCTATCAATGAGAAGGGAAATGTAAACAGTACACTACTTGGTTCAGCAGAGAATATTGACATAGTATTTGTCAATACCGTGTAAACACTGACTCATGATTTCACAAGAAATTATAAAATCATATTAAGAGGATGGAGGGAGGAGAAGTGGGGGTGATTGGGGAGCGAGAGAGGAAAGCTTCATCTAAATTAGTAGGAAGTCAGGCTGGCCAGTTGGTTCACTGGGTTAGAGCATGGTGCTGATAACACCAAGGTCAAGGGTTCAGATCACCTACAGCCAGCCACTAAAAATAAAAAAATAGTAGGAAGCCATTTGATGTTGCCTACAATGGATAAATCACAAAACAGCAGTTTATCACTTAAGTCAGTGGCTCTCAACCATGGGCAGTTCTGCTCCCCAGGAACTATTTGGAAATGCCTGGAGACACTTTTGGTTGTCACAGCGGAGTGAGTGGGAGCATTACTGGCACCTAATGGTGTATTAGTTTCCTATGGCTACAATAAAAATTACCACAAATTCAGTGGCTTAACATGAGTTTGTTATCTATGGTTCTGGAGTTCAGAACTCCAAAATGGGTCACAGTGAGCTAACATCAAGCTGTCAGGAGCACTGTTGGGTACCCCAGTGGAGAATCTGTTCCTCACCTTTGCAGCTGTTGGAAGCTTCCTGAACTCCTTGGCTCACAGCCTCCTTCAGGCTTCAGAGCCAACAGCTGCATCACTCTGATCTCTAATTTCCATCTCCATCACAGCCCTTCCCTAACTTGGCCCCTCTTCCACATTTAAAGCTCTTGTGATTACTGGGCCGGCCCGTGGCTCACTCGGGAGAGTGCGGTGCTGATAACACCAAGGCCCAGGTTCGGATCCCATATAGGGATGGCCGGTTGGCTCGCTGGCTGAGCCTGGTGCTGACAACACCAAGTCAAGGGTTAAGATCCCCTTACCGGTCATCCTTTAAAAAAAAAAAAAAAATGACAGAATCGAGAGACTTACTCATTCATCCCGTCCTTAGACAGAGTTTCTGTTCCAGGTCAGGAACACGGACAGAGGGGGGGAAAGGGGGGCAGATGCAGTCCTAGCCCTGTGCAAATAGTCCCAGTTGCCATTGGTGGGTTTCTGAGGGATTATCGTGTGGAGGAAAAGAGAGGTGAGCCCCAGAAAGGAGGGTCAGTGCTCATGGGCAGTTAGTATCACCACCTTCTCCCCAAATGGAGCTTTGGCTGCAGATCCTGGTTGGGGGGAGAAAGAAAGCTTTGTCACCCTGCTCCCTCGGCTCAGGGCTGGGCAGGGCACAGAGCCCCTCCTCTGCACCCTGAGCTGGGAGCCCCCAGGAGCCCTCAAAGGACTCTGCTTTGCTTCTCTAACCTGCCCTGGGCTCCCTCCCACGAGCCTTCTACAGACCCCGCCCCTCTGTCCCCCTGTGGCCTTTATCCTTCCCAGCCATCCTGATATTTTCACTCCCTGCGGCCACAGCTGATATTTAAACCTCAGAAAGCGGTAGCACACCAAACCTGCCGTGCTGCAGGGTACTTTCTCCTTTGAGCAACACTACATTTTTAAGGTTTAGCCATCTGCTACTAGTAGCTGTACTTCAGCTCTCTAACTGCCACTGGGACCACCATCCCAGAGTAGACCACGATTGATCAGTTTCCCTACTGATGGACTTTCCCCTGCAGAAGCTCCCTGGGCCACCACCAGGGGGCGCCCTAGACCCTCCCCGGCCGGACTGCCGTCCCCTGGGGTTCCAGAGGCGCCCACGTCCCCTCCTCGGCTGGGAATGGGCAGCAGTGTCAGGGGACGCCTGCAGGGTGTGCAGCTGCCTGGCTCTGGCCCGTGTCGTGCGGAGCTGCCCGCCCACCTCACACTCCAAGCGGCTCTCCAGGCCAAGGGCTCTCAGGGGAGCAGGGTGGGGATGGTGGGTGGTGGCTTTGGGGAGGCCCCCTGTCCCTGTAGTCCTCCAGGTGCAGAGAGGGCTACCTCTGCATTCCCTACCCCGCCTGTCTCTGTGCCTCAACCCCCCACCCTCATCAAAATGTTTTCATTGACAAGTGGAGGGGTGGGTCAGCCTCTGGAACAGCAACAATAGATCCTAGCCACAAGCATTTATTGAGTGCCTACTGTGTGCCAGGCACAGTACCAAGACCCAAGACAGAATCATCAATGCTCACAAGATGATAATGACGTGGCCACTGCAATTATCCCCCTTTTACAAATGAGGAAACAGAGGCAGGAAAGGTTGAGGCACTTATTGCTCCCCCTACACCCACCACCATCAAGCCTGGGGCAGGCCTGAGCCTAGCCACCAGGCTCAAAGGCCAGCTTCTCACCGGCTCTGTGTGGCCATTGAGGGGAGAGCAGCAGCTGCTGTTGCTGCTAAACCTCCCTAGGGATCTCTGAACCGACCAGGGCCCCTCATACTGCTGGAGCACGGCCCTTGTCTGTACCCCACTCCCCCAGCCCTTCTGTGCCTCTCTCTACCTGAATGCTTCGTTTTCCCCAAACTGAGGCTCTCAGGCTGGGGGTCTAGGTTGTATCTCCCTCCCATCACCATTTACCCAACAGATGATCTGGGACAAGTCAATTCCTCCTGTGCCTTAGTTTCCTCATTGGTAAAACGGAATTAACAATAGTTCCCCTCATGGGATTGTTTGTAGGTCAAAATGAGATATTTATCATGATCCCAAACAAGATCCCTGGTATTTGGGACCTAGAGGGTGCCTCGTGAATGGTGTGGTTGCTGGGGGGAGGGGGGTCTGATTATCATTATTTTTTTTTTTTTATTTTTTTTTTTTCAGCAGCTGGCTGGTACAGGAATCGATTATTTTGAGGCTGAATTCACCATGGGCTGGGGTCAGGAAAGAATGTGTCAGGTCCTGCCCTCTGGGAGGGGGCTGTTAAGCCCAGGCAGGCATGGTGGAATGCTCTTGGGGACAGTTCCAACCATGGCCATTTAAGCAGAGTCCTGAAGAATGAGTAGGAGTTTGCCAGGTTAAGAAGGACGTTTTAGGCACAGAGGCACAAAGGTTGGCAAAACCACAGGTTGTTGGTTAAGACAAAATAAACGAAATTAGGACTGGCTGGAGAAAGTGGCCACAGGGGTACCATGACTGGAGAGGAAGCACTGGAAGTGGTCAGGTCTGAGAGTGTGAGGAGGAGCTGCCTCTTCATCCTGCAGGGCTTGGGAACCACTAGCCAGCTCAGGGATGGCTTGAGGTGGCCAAACCTGTGGTTTCCAAGCATCCATCCCTCTGCAGCAGGGAAAAGGGTGATGGGGAGAAGCTAGGGGTGGCAGAGGATAGGACAGGGTGTGGCGGGAGTCTTGAGAGCTGTATTAGGTGAGGACAAGGGATAACCCTCAGGGGAGGAGCTACACAGAGGAGTCGAGTGGTGCCAGGGCCCCCAACCATCTCTCCTGCCTTACCCCACTGGGGCTCTGTCAGCCTGCCGGTTTTTGCTGTGCTGGTGCCCCACCGGCAAGAGCTCTGGCCAAGAGGGCACCCACCCTTGCGCCTGAGGCCCCTGGTCCCTGGACTCCCTCCCTGGCAGTGGCACTGCTGGGAGGAGGAAGCGAACAGGCGGAACAGGGGAAGCGGGGGCGCCCCCGGGGAGCCTCAAGTCCACTTCTAGCTAGAGGCCCCTTCAGTGAGGTGCTCAGGGGGCGTCCCCGCCCCAGCAGCCTGAGCTCGCACTTCTCTTTTCCTCCACCCACCTCTGGTGAGCCCAGCAGGTACCACGGGGGCGGACCGGGGAGGGGCCACCGAGCGGTTATAGTCGGACCCGCGGGGGACCACCTACTCGCCTCTATCCTCCGGCGCTCAGCTCCCCGACGCCGCAATTCCGCCGCGCCCAGACCCAGCCGAGCCGGTTCCTGTCCCGCCCCGCCGGGCGGCCGTCGACCGGAGCGCCCTGGCGCGGGGCCCGGGCCGGGGGGCTGCCGCGAGCCGGCAGCTGCTCGCGTGGCCGCTGCTTCTGCTCCTGCTGCCGCTGCCCGCCGGCGCCTGGTACAAGCACGTGGCGATTCCCCGCTACCACACGGTGGGCCGCGCCGCCGGCCTGCTCATGGGGCTGCGCAGCTCGCCCTACCTGTGGCGCCGCGCGCTTCGCCCGGCCGCTGGGCGCCTGACCTGGGACACCCTGTTCCCGGGGCTCGCCGCCCGTGACGCTCTCCTCCTGCTTCCCTCGGGGGTTCAGGAGGGGTGGGGACCGCGACACAGCAGCTCCCGGGCACGGCTCCCCGTCCATGGACTCCGGAGCTTGCGCGCCCCGGGGTCCGCGCACGAACCGGGGCCGCAGCTGGACCTCCGCTCCCGGACCCCAGCAGAGCCGGCCAGGTACGTGGCGGGAGGGAGGGGGCCAGAACGGCAGCGGTAAAGGGGATCTCGAGAGGTCTTAGCCTGGAGCGTACGTCTGCATTCCCGGAGTTGTCTCTACCCTCGCGGCCCGGGGCGGCAGTGGAGGGCGCACAGCCCGCTCCCCACGGTCCTGCTGTTTTTTCTAGAGACTTCGGAGAGACCTCACCCGCCCAGCCTTGGTTCCTGCTGCAGACCTCCTTCGCTGGTCCCCGCCTGGCCCCAGCACCGCCCTGACAGCATCCTCTACCCGCGGAGCCCCCGCACCCGGCCCGGGAGGATTTGCTGCGTCCTGCAGGGCGAGCAACGCCCGCCGGGTGGTTCTGTCCGGTTAATAAAACCCGCCTGATTTCTGCGCCCCCGCGTGTGACCCTGTGTACTTTGCCATCTAGCTTAAGGGCGCAAACAGCTGCACCCACGCCCTGGCAAATGTCAGGAGCCCCCTGCTGACCAGGGGATGGGGGCCCCCTCTCCAGCCTCAGCGATGTGTGTCATTGGGGGGCAGAAGGGGGGCGAAGGAGAGACATCAGGGACTGGTTCCTCTCCTCTGCCTGTGCTGCCCCTTCTGTTTCGGGGTGGGGTTATCAGGCCTGGTTCCAAGGTGTGGTGACCCTAGGGACTTCTATGGGGTGGAGATCCTGGGCCTTGTCCGCACCCATTGGGGTGTACAGGAGGAGGAAAGCAGAAGCTCTTACCTGCTGAACCGGACCCCCCACCCAAGCCTCCCAGGAGCCCTACATGGGGCCCCTCCCTATGCCCTCTGGCCATGCTGGGGAGAATGTCCCCCTGCACAGTGGGCTGTGACCTTCAGCCCAGGCAACCCACCTGGACTCTCCCCCTTTTCCCAGCATTCATTTCACACCTGTGTCTCCCTGAACTCCCCTGCACCACTGGCTTCCTTCCAGAGAGGAACTGGGAGCCCCAGCCCTCTTCTCATGACTGTGCTGTCCTCCTAGGGAGGAAGGGTTCCTCCAGCTGAGCCCCCTTGCTTCCTCAGAGACCCCTTCTCCTCTATCCCCCTCTGCGTTTCCAGTCATTGGCTCCAGCCCCCCACATAAATGTGCTCTGCCATCTGGAATAAACCGGACCCCTCCACTGGGGTACCTCCAGCTCCCCTGTCACAGGTGTCCCCGAGCTCCTCCACCCTCCTACTTCCTCTTAACCCTCTTTAAAATTTGGCCCCTGACTTCCACAACTGTCCTGGACCTCACACCACCCAGGTCACTGTGCCTGACGCCATCATCCCTTGGAGGTCTCCTTGGCCATGTTACAGGGTCTCCTGTGTGGCGACCCAGCAAGGACTGGAGGAAAGGTGGTCCCAGGTCTGTCTACCAGCCTGGCTTTGGGGCACCCATGTGGAACCAGCTCCCACATTCCCCTCCTGGCTTCTGGCAGCCCCTGCCCCTTCCTGGCTGTCCCTTCTGATCTGAGTACATCTTTCTGCCTACTTGGCCCCCAAATGTGGGTGCTCCTTTTTTCTGCACCCCCCAATTCCTATGGACCCCTAAATTTATTTAACTTGATTGCACCCAGCCCTTTCCTAGGATCTGTACTGGAGAAAGAGGTGGTCATGACCCCTCAGGTTGACCCGTTCTCCTCCCTCCAAGCCCATTCACTCCCACTCCTGCCCCTGCTCCTCACCGAACCTGACCTTTCAAAACATACATGTCCTGACCTTGTCACTCACAAATGCACACACCTCAAGGGCTCCCCACTGCCTATGGGAAAATATCCACGTTCCCGGGTCAGGGCTCAGGGCTGGCCCCGTCCCAGTCCCATGGCTCCATCCCTTCTCCCACCTCCTGCTCCAGCCTGCAGGAACTTAGGGAAGGCTCCAGAACAGCCTGGAGTGCTCCCACCCTGAAGGACTTCAGGCCCCAGGCTGGTGAAATACCCCTTTGGGGCCTGCCCTAGCTCAGGTCAAGGTACACAAATCCCTATTTCTGTGGGTCTCAGAGATGTTTCCCCAGTGCTTGCCAGCTCCTGTGGTCCACAAATGCTTGGTCACAAGTGCTGGGGTACTTGTGAGGGGCCCAGATTTTATGTTGCCTGGAGGTACCCTAGCCCAGAGAGGTTTGTGCCAGGTCTAAGGTGGAGGAGCAGAACCGATCAGGTAGGTGTGCAGATGCCCGGCTTCTCTGCCTACCACTACCCATGACACTCTAATGCCTCTGCATCCGGCAGGACCGGATCGGATCGAAGCCACAGGGGCGGGACCTGGGGCAGTCCCGGGGACAATGCGATGCCCACCATAACCGGCAGGTGGCGGTGCGTGGCTACTGTTCTGGGCGACGGCCATCTACCGGGCCTCCTGTGGTAGGTGGGGCTAGGGGCGGGCGGCGGGCGGGGGCAGAGGGTGGGCGGGGCGCCACCGCCCGGTCGGCAGCAGTCGGGTTTGCAGCACCTCCTTTCTGCCGCTCTTCCCTCCTCGGTCCTTCCGCATCTCGGCTTCTCTCTCCCTCTCGGGCCTGGGTCTTTGTCGATCTCCTTTCTCCTTCCGTCGCTCTGGTCCCGCCTACCCCAATTCCGGGCTCTAAAGAGAGGCATGGTGTAGTCTGAGAGGGCGGAGGCCCTAAGCAAGGCCTGGTTATGCTCGGGGGCCGTTAATGCCCATTAAGGAGGCAGCGCCCGCCCGGGAAGCTCTAGGGTCATTACCGGGGCGTCGGACTAATGACTCTACCCCGCAAACTGGGCCTCAGGCCCCTGCCGCGGCCACACCCCAGAGACACCGCTCATGCAGGCTCAGTGCTCAGAGGAAAGTCCCGTATCCGCCGCAGGAACACAGGGGCAACCCGCACCTTAAGGGGGCCCTCCAATAGCCCAGAGGAGGGAAGGACTGAAACTTGCAGTCCCTCTGTCGTAGATGGCGACTCACACCTGGGTGGCAAGTTGTCAGGGGTGGGGTGAGGGGATGAGGGTGGATGGGGGAATCTCCCAGGCTTCTGGTCACCCCTGACTTGACCTCCATCCTACCTGCTATGGCCTGGGGGCCGGGTCACCCCACCCCACAGAACAAGCAAAATAAAGCCCACCCTGCCTGGGACGCTGACCCTAGAGCCTCACTACCCACCTCCCCTCTCCCATTCTCCAAGACCTTGAATGGCTTACAGCGCCTGAATGCCTTTTAAGTCCCCACCTCCAGACCTTTGCCCATGCCGTTCCCTCTGCCTCTTTCTCTGCCTCTCCCACCTCCATCACAGCACCCCGTTGTGCCTGAGGCCAGCCACGGAGCCAGGCTGAGAGCTTCGCAGGGTTGGCTGGGGGAAGAGGCTTGGGAGGCTTGCCCAGGAGGGCTGCTGGGTCGCCCTCACCCATCTCTGTTGTCCAGACCCCCATACTCCTGTGTCCCCTCTCAATTATTCCTGCTACCCTCTCTGAAATTGTTTCCTCCTGCTGTTCCGTGGCTACCTTTATTTATTCTGCTGCTGTTACTTCACTGGGAGCCACGTCCTCTGCTACCCATCCCCTTTGTTTCTCTAGGACATTGCTTTGTTACTCTGTTACCTTCCTTGATACTTCCTCAGCTCCCTTTCTGCTTTGGGGACTCCTTTGTTAGTTACTCTGTGACTGCAATGTCCTGTGATACTTCCTTGGTTCAGGGCTCCTGGCTGTGACCACATGTCCTTGGTTACTTTTCCTCTGGTGTGTTCTGTTCCCCATCCTATCATTGGTCACAGGCTGGAGGATGCAGTTGAGTTCTGGGTTGCAGAAGGCCAGTGAGGGCCCAAGGCTGATTGGGAGAGTCTTCCCTACCGGGGATGGGGGACTGGAGGATCTCTGAGCTCTCTAATCTAGGGGACCCAGGGTCTCTTCCTCCGCCCCATCCAGCCACCTCTCTCTTTTTTTTTTTTTTTTTTTTTTTTGCGTGTTTTTTTTTTTTTTT